GGCTTTGGGAGGCCCAGATTCAAATTCTGCTCCACTCTGCAGACCATTAGGTCTTACTGCTCAGATTAATCCCCTCAAGGCCACCCGCGTGGAGGACAAGACAGCCTTCAACTGTCTGTAGCTTTCAAAATAAAATAAAGCACCCTCCGAATAGCAGGCAGCCTTCCGAGCCTTCCCCTCTCCCCAGAACGTGCCTTTCAGACCTTTCTTCCTTCTCTCTCACATCCGCCCCCACTAAGCGATTCTATTGTTCCATGCCCGCTCCTCCTCCTCCTCCTCCCATTGCCAAGAGCAGGCAGGTGCGTTTCAGCTTTTTGGCTGGGTGAAACCACCTGGAAAATTGGCATTTGGTTTCGTTCCTTTCTGGCCTGGGCGCCTTTGTTTCCTCAGAGCTGGCAAAGGATAGCAAGGGAACAGACTTGCAGGGAGAAGCTGGCCGGGAGGGGTGATGGCCACGCTCACTTTCAGGGTTGCCAAAATGCAAAATCCCACTTTCAGCAGGAACCTCTTTCTTTTCCCCAAAACAAAGCATTCATTTGGGAGAGAAATGAGCTCTTAAACGACAGGCTGTGGAGGAGGCACCAGGCCCCTCCTGAAAATGGAAGAAGAAGGAGGGCTCACAATTTGTATAAAGCAAGTGGGGGGAAGACAACTCCTGGGGAGAAGCAGAGGGCCCGGTTTCAATGCCAGGACTCTCCACAGCATGCTAAGTGAGGCCTCCTTCCCTTGGTATGGCTGCTTACCAGGTACAAGGGTACCTCTACCCACCAGGAGAGTGCCTTTCACTAACAAGTTACAGTATCGAGGAACCTCCCTGGTAGACGGTGGGAATGCTGTAGACATAATATATCTTGACTTCAGCAGAGCCTTTGACAAGGGTAACAAGGATGTTCGGAGGATTGGAAACCAAGCCCTATCAGGCGGAAAGAAGAGAGATAGGATAACACTTTTCAAAGGCAGTCTTACAGAGGAGGGGCAGGATCTGTCCTCGATCATCCCAGAGTGCAGGCCACATAATAATGGGCTCAAGCAACAGGAAGCCAGATTTAGGCTGAATACCAGGAAAAACCTCTTAACTGTTAGAGCAGAACAACAATGGGACCCATGATCTCATTGGACAGATCTCTTTCAGATCTGCTTGGATTTGGATCCCTGCCTTGAGCAGGGGGTTGGGCTCGATGGCCTTTGAGGCTCCTTCCAACTCCATGATTCTAGGGTTCAATTTCTTGGCATATGAAGCATTACTTACTTATGTGTGTGTGTGGAGGGGGGGGGAGGAATTTGTAGATGCAATGACAGGGAAAAATCCCAAGGGGTTAAAAAGCAAGAGTGCTCATTTTCTTAGTTCTGATTTCCATTTAAACCATTTCCCAAGAAGGGCCAAAGTGTGATCAAGCAAATGCGGCCCTACCTCCATTCCCTTCCCCCCACCCCCCACCCCCGTTCCCTCCTGCCTGCATGAGCTCGAACCGCCCTTCTCTCTCCCCTCGGCCTTCTGCCAACCTGCTTCCCTGCACCAGACACAAATTCCTCCTCTCGCCGCCGTTGAGAAAGCCTGCCACGCAGCACCTTTGAAACCCCTCCTCCAGAGCGCTGCAGACGGCTATGCCTTGGGACATCCAGAACGCGGCTAGGCAGAGCGTCTTGGTCTTCCTCCCCTGCTGAGCTTCTTCGCCCCACTGACCTCGTCCTCCAACCCTGCTCTCCTCTCCCCTTGGGGTGTCTCTTTATTCCTGGTCTGGGTCTCTCCAGCATCCGGTCCAGCGCCTGGCGCATGGCGAGGGCTTAAGAAAAGGGCAGGCAGAGCTTTTCCCAGGCAGGCAGCAGGAAAGGAAGGAAGGATGGCTGGCAAGAGAAGGAGGACGTTCTGCACAAAGTCTTTGCTAGGATCTGGCACTTTGGCTGAACGCATCTCATGGTAACGTAGGTGTCTCCCCCATGCCCACAAGAGAAGGAGGACGTTCTGCACAAAGTCCTTGCTAGGATCTGGCTCTTTGGCCAAACGCATCTCCTGGTAACAGGGCCTACGTAGGTGTCTCCCCCATGCCGGGCCATTTGCACTCTTAATCGAATAATGGGAGTCATTAGCCAAGGGACGGCTTGACGGCAGATGAAAAGCAGAACTCCAATCAAGGGGAGCCAGCCATCCAGATGCTCCCCTCTGCTCCGCCACCAAAGGCTGCCCTGGGGCTTCCGTCGGCACCCGCTGAGGCTGTCTGGGCTTTGCATGAGGGGCCCCAGCGTGACAGCAGTCGCTCCTCCGCCCAGGCTCCCCAACCTTCCCGTTACAACAAAGGTCAAATCCCAGCGAAGCACACAGGAGGAGCCCTGCTTCGTCCCCAGCGTAACACCTTCCCACCGATGCAGCTGAGGCTCCGTGGTGTGTGTGTGTGTGTGTGTTTCAGCAGCTGCCTTACCCTCAGAGACCCTCAGCCCCAAATCCCGGCTGGACTATGATGGCCAGTTGGTCCAGGGTAGTTTTGGTGGCCTGGGGTTAAGCTACGGTTACCCACCCTCTCTGCCCTGAACCCAGGCGCTGGTCTCCAAGAAGGGCCTGATCCGCCATCAAAATGAGGGCAATGATAATAATTATACTGGCACACCTTACTTGGGCTGCTGTAACAATAAGCAGAGACAAAATACAGAAGCTGCTTTGCACACGCAAAGTGTTATTACTGGTTGAGGGTTAACTCTTTGCACTGGGTCCCTGAGTAAGACATTTTAATCCACAGTTTTTTGCCCAGTCTCCGGGCGCAAACCCCAGGCAACGAAACCGACGAGATGATGACTCTGGACAGAGGAGACAAGACCTTCCTTCGCTCCCAACTCTTTGGCAATGAAGGCGCATCTTCCTCCCCCCCCCTTTTGGTCTCGGGCACCCTAAGAACAAAAGCCACGGGAGAGGGGTTCAGCCCGAAACCACCCCGGCAGCCCCTTGCTTTCAGGGTGAACTAGCCGGGGTCGAAAAGGGAAAGAAGAAGCACCGGGACTGTCCCTCCGGGCCCCTGCTCCAAAACAGAGGATCTACCCCGGCAGACTGCAGAAACTCCTACTCAGACACTGGCCCTACTCAATGCATGCTGTTCGCTTGGGGCTGGACCCTCCCCAGCAACGGATTCTGCCCCACTGGGGTAAGACCCTGACGACACACCCACCCTTTGTCTCCTTTCATCCTGTTCCCAACTTTGCAAAGGTTCACAACAGCTTCTGAAGCGATCCGCTCCTTATGGACCAGCATTAGAGAGACTACCAACAGGCGACGGTTGGCCAGGAACAGGGCTAACCACAGAGGGGAAGGGTAAACATTGAAAGTCGGGAGGGGCTTCTGGCATTTCTAGAAAAAAAACCCAAGGGCTACAAGCAAGACGCTGGTACCAAGGCGCCCAGGGAGCCATTTCAAAGACAGAGGGAGGGAGAGACCTGAGCAGCTACAGACCCAGAAGGAAGGCAGTGCAGACGGGCTAACGAGTGTTGGAGCAGCAGGCCCTGTGATGATGAGCGGAGAGGAATTCTTCCCCGGTACTGGAAAAAACAAGGCACCCCAAGCCTGGAGGACGATCTTCGGAAGCCTGTGCCGTTGCTCACACCACCCACCAAGCACCTGCTTCATCTTCAAACCCCGAGAGATGAACATTTATTTTGAAAGCTCTGGTGTGTGGGGGGGGAAAATATCCTGCAGTTTGTCTCTTTCCCCTTCTTTGCACCAGACCTCTCTCTCTCTCTCTTTCTCTCTCTGCAATCTGCAATTCTTTTCACAAAAGCAGGAGGGGGAAAGGGAAGCTGTATGAAGAGCAGTGACTCTACCAGCAGCCTCAACTCACGGCCGGCACAAGGACAAAAGTCTGGGCTGGTGCAAAAACCTCATTGGGCCCTCATTGCAAAATGAAAAAAGAAAAAGAAACCATATTAAAGCAATAACAAAGGAACAGGGGGGCATATCCAAGATAAGAAGGCAGGCCTAAAAAAAAACCCTTTAAGATATGGTGAGGGAAAATACAAGCAAAACCAGACCAATCGGGGCCGCATGACGTGATTCACTGCTTTCTAAACCACAGAGATGGGCTCAAGCGACTGCCGCGGTGCCAGCCTTAGGGCTAGACCGTCCTGCCACGGTGGCTGGCTTCCCGTCAGGGAGCCTCTGAGGTATAAATCGACGGAGCTGACAGAGACCGGGCCTTTCCTCCCATTGTTCCAACTTCCCATGAGCTCAGTTCCGCACACGCCGCTGGTCTCTTGCCCAAACTGGTTTCGCAACACGAGATCATCACTGCAAGAAAGCCATGGAACTGCCCTGATGGCTAGGACCCGAGGCTCCCCCTTGGGCTTGTCTTCTCCCTCCACCCCAAAGGAGAACTCGGGCTGACCAACTCAGGTTGGACGCTCACTGGGAGTGGCTGGGGGGGGCCCTTTTTGGTTCAGTCCAGGAGGGCTCTGGAGATGCTTTTTCTCAACTTTCCCTCGCCAGCAATGTGTGGCTTTTAAGCATGATGCACACGGCTTTCCATGTGTTTGCAACTTGGGTACACATCAAACATCTCATGAACCACAAACAGAGCATCATTCAAAAGAAAGACGTACTCCGGGAGAATGACGGAGCTGAAATCCACCCTGTTTCCACCATACATGATCTTTCAGTCAGCAGAATACAGAATTATAGAAAAGAGACAAACTATTTTAAAAAGCAACGGAAGACAACCTCGGGTAAGAGAGATCTGCCATCAAGAGAAACCCCTTTTCAGGGTGAAGAAGTTCCCTTACCTTGAAATCCGCCAGCTGCTGGTTGATCACATCGACCTCGGTGCCCACCACCCACTGCAACGCTTCGCTTCCTTCCGCCGTGGCTGTCACGTAGTTCAGCTCTTTCAGTTTGTGGTAGAAGTCTCTGACCCGAGCGAGCGTCGTGTCCACCTGCTCGAGGCGGCTTTTGCCCCTTTCGGTCAGTTTGCTGCACTGCTTATTCAGGGTCTCCAGCTCCCGTTTCAAGCCTATGAGATCGGGGCTCGGCTCCTCCTCCAGCATCTGCTTGCACTGCTCTTCAGAAGCCTGGATGTCCAGCCTCAGCTGCTGAAGCTTGTGCAGGAACGCGTGGACATCTTCCGCTTGAGACTGGAGGCTGTCCATGTCCCTCCCGACGGGGCCCATGCTGTCTAACTCATCGTCCAAGTCAGCCAGCTGAGAGAACATCTCTCGGACGTGGTTACTGAACTGCCCTATCCCTTCAAGCTTGCTCTCCATCAAGACGCAACATTCGTCGACTTTCTGCTGGACCGCTTTGTAGTCCCGCTGGGCGACCTCCGCTTGGCTCAGGAGATGGGAGGAGTCTGACCCCTCCGGAGCGTCTTCCACCAGGCCCCGAGTGAAGTTCCTCAGGTAATCCACCTGGGGTCCCAAAGCCTGGAGAACCTCCTGCTGGGTCCTCAGCTTCTCCAGGTTCTTGCTGCTGCATGCCTGGGGGCCCAGCGCCTCGTAGATCTCCAGCTGGTGTTTTGTGCCTTCCAATTTCTTCTCAATGTTCCTAAAACTTTCTTGGAACTCCTTCAGCCTTTGCAACATTTCTTCCAGGGACCCGGTCTTCGTTTGGAGCTCCTCCGTAATGGCGTCCATCTTCTGGTTGATCCCAGCTTTCTCGTCGCGGACATCATCCTCGTCCATTTCCGAAGCGTTGATGAGGATGTCCGCCGCGCTGTTCAACATCTCCAGCAGGGAGCGCCGCTTCTCCACGTCGCTCAGCAAGGCCTTGGCCCTCAGGAGCGCCGCTTCCAGCTGCACCGGATCCAGCGTGACTTCCAGCTCCATCATCTTTGACCGGTAATCTTCCACCCAAGGGAAAAGGTCTTCGGCGTGGCGCTGGTACTTCTGGGCCTTCTGCAGGCAGTCCTTCAGCCTGGAGTGGCGCTCGGCAATTTGCCTGCTGAGATGCTCCCAGTTGGCTTTCAGGTTCACCAGCTGGCCCTGCAGGTTGGCCTTCTCCTCCCCGGGGGAAGCGGAGAGAACGAAGGACTCTCCCTCCAGCACGATCATCTCGTAGGTGCCACTGTGTTGGTTGAGGCTCTTCTGCAGCTCTTCCTGCTCCTGAATCTGAGACTGCAGCCTCTCCAACTTGGCAGAGATGGGCCCGCTCTGGGCCTGCTGCCTCGTCTTCTCCTCCAACCAAGCCTGGAGCTCATCAAACATCTGCTGGAACTGCTGGGAGCTGGCCAGCGCCGTCTGCAGGCGGTTCATCCGATCACCTGAGAATCAGAGGAAGAGGAGGACGGCACAGTTCAGAGAGGGGCCGTTCATCCGCCGCGGATCCCCCTTTCCCGTGGCACTTCAGGCACAAACTGATCCCCCTACATCACGGAAACGAGCGCCCTCCCCATGCTTATGGGACCTGACTGACCTTTAAGGCCACCTAGGGAACCTACATGGTCAGAACAATCAAACAACGTAAGCCCAGCATTGGGACTGGGCAAAGTGGGGGTCCATGGGGCCCTGGGGGGGAAGCCACCCGCACCTCCAAGCCATTGTACTTTAAAAGCTCCACTCGGTTTTTGATGGTTTGATTGTTTGTTTTTAAGTGTCCCTGGATCTGTCCCCCCCCCCAAAAAAAGCCACAAGGATCAATGGGAAATCTAGTCGAACAAAACCAAGAGAGCAACATGGCATTTCCAGATGTGGAAATGCCAAGCGCCCAAATTGGGTCCCAAGGCCTCCCGCTTCTTTCTCCCCGCAGCCACCAGCCACAGCATTCTGTTTCATGGCTAACCGGGGTGACCAGCGTGTCCTGAGGAGGGGGACGGCGTCCCAGCGGCTAACACGGCCCCCTCCGACCCCCCCTCCCTCCCTTCCGGGCCTTGTACCTGCCAAATCCTCCAAGCCCTTGAGGGGAAGGCCCACGGCCTCCAGCCGCTTCTTCAGCTCGTCCTTCAGGTACTGCTCCCCCACGAGCAGGGAGAGCTCCTCGCACAGCGCCTCGGCCTCCGTCATCTCGCCTTCCAGCTGCTCCAGGTCAGAGCGGATCTCACTCGTCTCCTCCAGCTGCTGCTTCACGGCCTCCGGCTGGGTGCCGACCACCAGCGGGGTGCCCAGCCGCTGCCCGGCAGCCTTCACCTTCTCCGAGAGAGCCTGGAGCAGCTCTTGGTACTGGGTGCTCTTGACGATGGCCTGGTCAATCTGGCTGGAGCGGGAGTTGAGGCGCTCGGTCAGCTCGGTCCATTTCCGGTTGACCGCCTGGAGCTCCTCGCGCATGGGGCCGGCGGCTGGAGAGGCTTCTCCCGGGCTGGGGAGGATGCTTTCGGCCGCCTGGTTCAGCTGATCGTACTGGGGCTTGCGGGCTTCGAATTCTTTCAGCATGAACTGCAACAGAGGGATGCATGCGCATAGAAGCATCAAGCACACGGGTTTTTTAAATGAGGGGCTGGCACCCTCGAGTTATGCATTTAATGACACCCTGCCTGTCTACTAATGGGGACATTCAAAGCAACAGGCTACACATTCAGAAGAAAAACAAGATAAACGTAACAGACATTGAAACCCAAATGAAAACACAATGAAACAAAAATGTAACAAAGCAATAACAACATTCATCTAATTGAAACCTCCATCAGCCCCAAGAATGTCAAGTCCATCTAACAAAAGCCTTTCTCTGGAAGTGGAAGGACAAAAGGCATCTCTTGGCAGGGTGTTCCTGACTCTGGAAGAAGCCGCCACTGAGAGGACCCCGCTTCTCGGGTTCTAATCAAAAGTGCCCCAAACACTGAGGGGCCGGCAGGGTGTTCCTGACTCTGGAAGAAGCCACCATGGAGAAAACCCCACTTCTCGGGTTCCAATCAAAAGTGCCCCGAAGACTGAGGGGCCAGAGCGAGAGGCTCTTCCAATGAAATCTTAAAATCCAGGCATGTTCATCTGCGGGAGAGGGGGGCAGCCATCACTCCAACACTTGTAATGCAATTTCTAGGGTCATCACTCATCCTTTGAGCTGGGTCTGGAAACAGACCGGTCACCAGCCCCGTTGCACCAGGGAGTTACCCCCTTTCGTACAATTAGCCTCGGCCACCACATTTTGGACCGGCTGCCGTTTCCAAACACTTTCCCCCAGCAGTCCCACACAGAATGCGTTCCAGTGCTCCCAGTAAGAGGCAGGTAGAGTGGTTGAAAGACCAGATAGGTGGGATATAAATAAAATAAATAAAATAATAATAGGCAGGCATTAGAGCAGCCAGACCGCCAAGAAATAGCATATCAGGCATAGGAAGCTTCTCTGTGCAAAAGCACCCTTCAGATCTTGGACATCCCGATTCAAGGTTGAACCCAGGAGTAAATCCAGAGTGTGAACCTGGTTCTTTGAGACTGAATCTTTCCTCCCTCATCAAAGAGATAAGGTCCTTCTGGTGACCACAGCCACCTTCCTCTTGATTGATCCTCAAGGGGCACTTTCCACATGTGATGACCGAAAAACGGGAGCCCCAAATGCCATGCATAGGATCTTAAGGTCTCTCCTCGGCTTAATCAAGAGTGCCTTAAGGTGGCCTCGTGTGAATGAAGAGCGCACGCGCTCTGGTGCCCAACCAACTTTTCCTTGAGAAGCCCTACTCAAGAAGACGATCCTCTAAATGTGGCAGGATGATCCCTCTGCCCACCCCCGTGCCCGACCTTCTGGCTGAGAAAGCCCTGAGGAGATCCCAAGAAACTCTAGCAGACTTTGGAAACGTCCTCTCATAAACCAGCAGATCCAGTTTAAAAACAGATCTGTCATCTTCCTTCGAGGAGAAATTTGGTGTGTTTTATATTTTTGGAGGGGGGGGGCACGCTTTCAACTGACTATCGGCAATTAACTGACAAAAACAGTTCAAAGCCAAACAGTTTAGTCACAAGACGGCAAGAGTTTCAGCCGTCCGTCAACAGGACTAAAAGCACGTTTGGCAGCTCTAACCATCCGTGGAGATCCTGGAAGGCTTTCAAAGAAGCCGCGGGGACTCGGCTCTTAACGGGATTTCAGCTTTCAAAAAATGCTGGGAGTGGTGACGACATTCAAAAGGCATTCCCTCCCTCTGCCTTATTTGTTCCGCTGCTGCTACAGATCATATAAACACATTGCAGAGCAAGAATCAACGGCTTGAGCCAGGAGATGATTTCCCTTCCTACAACGCTGCATGTTTGCTAGCTATGGGCTTCTTGGTGATAAGGTTTATTCTCCCACTCCTGCAGCCCCAAAGAGGGAGAAAAATCAAAATATTCAGGGCAGCTGCTAAAGAACATGTGCACTTTGAAATAAGCTTTCCCTCCTGCCTGTCAGAGGCAAGCAGGGAAAGAGGTGGGTGGGAGTCAGCTTTTACTACAGGGACCAAATTGTTCCAGTCAACCCGTCAACCCAAGGCCGGAAACGTTATTTGGACAGATGATGTCTATCGGCCTCGTGTGCCACACTGCTTTCTAGCCACACGTGCTGGTGGCACCAGGGATGCAGTTAGCAGTGTCAGGCTGACAGGGTCAAAGGCTCGGGACTCCTGTAAGGCAAAGTATATCGGGAGTGGTTGGGTCTTGAATGGGCCATCAAGAGCCGTTAGCTCTACAAAAGGAACGAAAAATCTCCGCCCGCTCACCTGGACCTGCTGCTTCTGCGCGTTCAGCATGTTGGGGTCAATGGAGAGCGGGCCAAGGACGCTCATCATGAGCTCCTTCTCTGTCAGCCAAGGCCGCAGCTGGCCTTCAGCTATTTGGAAACTTGCCAGCTCATTAGCTGATTTCTCCAGCTTCTGTTGGCGCTCTGCCGTCACCTGGTTCGCCCGGACCCACCTGGAATCTGTGCAGAAGGGGGAAAAAAACCCATGAGTGTAATATAGTTTGGGATGCCCAACCGACTCACGTTGCGCAGGCGGGCCTTCCTCTCTGGTGCCTCCCAAGACACACGTGGTGGCTGGATGAGACGAGAGCAGGCATCAATTCAACCGGGACAGCAAGAGCTGCCGACGGTCAGAATCCAACAGAAAGTTGACCTCCACAAACAGCTCTTGTAGAAAACGAATACTTGGGTTTCCATCGTTTGACTGATGAAAATAGGGACTCGCCTCAGATACTAACGAGCCCCTTTCCCTCACATTTTTTTTCCATTTTTAAGTGTAACAAGCAAATGAACAAGTTAACTAATGAATCAAATCACTGAGCGTGTCCAATCAAATTAGAATCCCTTCACATTTTAATGTAAAAGGCTTACAGCGACCACCAGCCCTGCTGAGCTCTGATAACCTCTAAGGAACGGGGTTGCTCATTTGTGGCCATTAACACAATTTCAAACAGACGTTGCCACCTGTTGTGACAAAGACCACAACTGAGAGACTTCCCTGGTAAACAGGAATTGTTGGACTGAACTTGGGAATCTGTTCTTAACACCTCTGTGAGGCCCTTCAGTATAAATATTCTCCAGGCTGTTTACACAATAAAACAAATAATTTGTTTTGAAAAAAGCTCCGGGCTCCTAAAGGAGAATGTCTATGTGCTTCTTATTTCAGATCCATGTCCCCTGTTATTTGCAAGACACCCCCCCCAAACTTCCTGACAAATATACTAGCTGGAGGAAATTCTGTTCAGCTTTGGCAACTGGCTTTGAAACTGAATCTACTCCGCAGACTTTCTCCAGAGCTCCCAGGTCCCGTACCTAAGTCTTCCAATGTCCGCTTCCAATTTCCAGCCTCTGGTGATTCAGGATATTTCTCCAGAAGTCCAGACAAGGATTCTTTTGCTTTCTGGACCTTCTCCGTGTTCTGCTCCAGCTCAGTCAGAAAAGCCTGTGTTTTTTTTGGGGGGGGGGGTTGTGGGGTTTGAAGAAAAGGGGCAGGCAGGTGGAAAGAAGACAACAACTTTAGACACGGGGAATGGTTTGTTTGTGGAAAGTAAGACAACAGCAGGAATCCCCTGGAGGTTGCAGGGAGGAGATGAGAAGGGTGTTCCTTTATTTATTTATGAAGGGCCAACTTGTTTGGAGACAGTACACAGTCGATCAGGGCAGGCCCCGTAAAGCAATATAGAACGAACATGTTCCTACATAACCTAACATCAGTGGCCAACAGAAAAAGATTTCCTTCTTGTGCAATTTCGAAAAAGAAATGCATAGCAAGGACAGACCTGCTAATGGGGGTTTTCTTTGCCTCCAGGGGACAGTCTACCATGCGGCTGCTGGCACCCTCGATTTTGCAAATGGTGCACACAACAGAGAGCCCAAAAGAGAAGGGGGCTGCCTAAGTCATTTCTCCTCCATGGCGCCAAACAGAATCCTGGCCAATACGTTTTAAACACTATTTTCCAAGCCCATTAAATAGTACCCGCAATTCATTATAAAGTATCACCAAAACCTTAAAAATGAATGGTGAAGGCCTTTCCGTTTGCACAACGGTTATCCTCATTTCTGCCACTTGCAAATTTTGCTGCTGACGAACCCCCATGCATGAAAAGCAGGGTTTAAAAACAGACACTTGTAAAATATGAATCAGCCCGATCAGCTCCGTCTGGAGCACATTCTGTGCCAAATCCACAGAGAACAGTCAGTTGCAAAGGAGAAGTATTCTGAGCTTGAAGGATGCCTTACATAAGGATCGAGCTGGTAGCCGCGCTAATCTGTTGCAGCACCAGAGAAGCCAAGAGTCCTGTGGCACTTTGAAGACTAACTAGTTTTTCTTTTCTTTTTCTTTTTCCTTAGCTTCCCTGCACCCAAGCACATTTCATCTGACAAACAAGCGTGCTTAGACATGGGAAAGCTGATGAAAAATAAAAACCCATTAAGTCTCATGAGATGTCTAGTTGCTCCCTCTTACACGAGTACAACCAGCTTCAAACCAGGTGAGGAAAGCAGGAGAACACTGTTGAAGAAATTGCTTTAAGCACCTTGTTGTGTTCGGCCTGAGCCCTCATGGCCTCCGACTTGGTAGGGGAGGAGCACCCTTCGAACTCCTTCAGGGTTTGCTCCTTCAACTCCAGCCACTGCAGGATCGAGCCCACCTCCTCCTGGGTGGCTCTCGTCTTTGCCAACACAGCCGCGAGTTGCTCCTGGCGGCCCCGCAAGGTGGCACCCAGCCCCTCGTACTGCTGGTTCACATCGGACACGTCACACTGGATGTCGGTCAGGTCTAAATCCAAAAAGAAATCACGTTTCAGCTGAAGACATTACTTGGCTTCCAAACCGGGATAAAAGTTGGGGGTCTGGCTCCGTTCGCATGAACAAAAGCAAAATGCATGAAACTTATTTATTTACTGGGAAGATACTGGGCCTTACGTTTGCACAGTCCATGGGGTCCATAGATAAGTGTAAGTTTCCCTAGTTTTCATAAGGAAAGGCCAGCGATGACGATAACCCAGGACAAGACAGTCCCAAAAATATTAGCCCAAATTATTCACCTGGTATGTCTCCATTTGATGGAGAACTATGTACAGGCTACCTCACAGACAGCATTAAATGAATCTTGAGAAATGTGAGATTAGTTTTAATACAAACAATGAAGAAAATGGTGAACCCCCAGGAGGAGTCTGCAAAGAGGAGGGCACAGGTGAGCATCTACCTCTGGAGTAGAGCCTCCCTCAAAAGGAACAGCACTTCTTTGCAGTTGTGAAGAGGATTCTCTGTTCCCTTCTTCGCTCACGCAGCTTGCAAGCCAGAAGGACACCCAGAGAGGGCGATTCCTTCCTTTATGTGCAAACACACTCTTTGTCGGCTAATACCCAAAGGCATGGGGGGGGCGCGGACACACACAAGGGGCCTCCGAACATATTTTCCATCCAGAGTCCTCGGCCACGTCTTTACCCCCTTAGCAGTCCCCCCACGTCCTTGTTATTTTGAAGGAACAAGACGGCCACACATCACGAGACGCCTTCCCACAAACAGGCTGCGCTCCCTCACCTTTGCAGGTGTGGTATCCATTAACGCTCCCTACCGCGCTTCCCCCAGCGGGCAGCACAGAACCTAAGCAAACGACAGAGAGACAGACAAGAACGACAGAGACATACATGTTAGCAATACAGATATCTGGAAACACGCATCGGCTGGCCCTCTTGCAGCCGGAGCGCTCGCCCTCCATCTTGGGAGAGCAAGGGGCGGACAGAGGCTACTCTTGGAAATGGCTTCATGGACGCCGCTGCCAGCTCCCGACTGCAAAGCTTGGCCCACCGCGATCGGGCATGTGTTGGATATAAGCTACTTTCCCTGCACTGAAAAACACCATGGCTGAGCCATGCCTTTCCTAAATCCCATCCTTTATCCACGTAAAAAGAATGTCCACGGCTGATTCATCCAGTTAGTTCTGCTCGTGTTTTCTCCTAGAACAGGGATGTTGGCACATCATGATGTGGGCTGTTCTAGGTAGCTACCCTATGATAAAGGCTGTACATCAACAGGTTCTCTCAGCTCAGCGGCCAGGACAGAAGAAACAGAGAAGGAAGACCGAGAGGGAGAGAGGGAGCATATTTGTGCCCAGGGTGTAGTGACCCCCATACCAGGGCCCTGCTTTGAAATGAGCAAGGCTTTCTCTCCAGCAGCGGGATATGATAGAACCTTCACTTGAGTCGCCCCCGCTTTCACACCTCGGTTGTTTGCCTGAGGCCTCGTTGTGTTACTCAGGGAGTGAGGTAAACAACAAGGCATGGCCTGCGTGTCACCGGCAATCGCAGTGCTCCAACAGGAGCTGACCACCTCCTATGTATACACAGCCACGACCAGCACACGTCTCCACCCTAGGGTGGCAAGCCAACTATGGAGAAGAGTCCAAGTTTGGTCACATATGAGGTTGACCGTGGGGCACATCCTCCATTAATGAGGAGCCATCTTAGAAGGAGAGCTATGAGGCAACGGAAGCATGAGGCAATTAGCACAGCACAACACAACACAGCATTCTGAGACACGGCTTCCCTTCCCATGGCCTCCTCCCAGCCCGACCTCCAGATCGAGAGGGAGGGACTGGCAACCTGCATGTCTTTGAGGGTCATTCTTTGGGCTAGCCAACTGCCACACACAATGGCCACATGGGTGTGAAGAGATATACAGACAACTTGCTTCTAGATAGGTATTATTCAATACTTTATTGTCTATAGTGTAGTAAAATAAAATATTTTGTTACTGAACCCAAGCAATCCCAGTAATTTAAGGAATTCTTGTCTAACAATTAATTTTAGATCTTGACAGATTACCTCATAGGTCTGCTGCACTCTCGTTACGACTCAATTAAAAAGTAATAACAAATAATTAAATGGTCTATTTAATTCAGCAGATAATAAGTTTAAATAAACTTTGAGAACCAATATCCTTTTTGGGTTTTTTTTTAACATGAAAGAAGAAAACAGCAGAAGCTGTTTTAATAACGAAAGCTTGCCAAAGCTGTTGAAATCACAAAGGCTGCTGAAATGATTACAGAGGAAAACAAACCTGATCAAGAGGCTTCTAACTGAAGATAACTGAGGTTTTCTCTGTCAAATAACACTGAAAACACTTCCAATAAAACATACGGAAGTAAACAACCTATTTTACCCATCTGCTCCCAAATTTTCAGAGGCAAACCATGCCTGTGGTTGGATTTGTTTTCCTTCTTTTTTTACAGTAAAAAATATCCAGGAAGCATGAAGGGGCACAAAAGGAGAAGGAGCCCTGGAACGTGAAGGTGTTGAATTTTATCTGGGATTCTATACATTTTCCCTAATGGTGGCAAACACCAGATTTTAAGCACTTGTGGGCGACAAAAACTGCTCGAGAAAGCGGCCACCCATCCGCTGTTCCAGGTTTCCATGGCTAGATTTTGAAAAAGACCCAAAGAAAGCAGTTGGAAGAAAACAGCTGATAGCTTTCAGCATAGAGCATACTCTGTCTTTACCTTACACCCAGGGAGTCCATTGATGGATCTAGCCCAGCCTGGTTAACACTGACTCCAGAGTAGAGCTGTGGATCTTCACAGCATCCGGAAGAATGAAAAATGGCGGAGAGATAAGAGATGGAAGACCTCTTTGCTCATTCCCCAAAATATTTACTCAATGCACAAGGAAGCCAGCCCACCACGTCCCTCTACACCACGGGAGCACCCCCTTGCACGGAATGCAACGGGTCTGGAGAGAAGCGATTCCTCATGTCTTGAAGGTCCATCAGCTTGATCTTCCTATTATTCTGACTCACATCAGAGCCTCCCTGGGGAACTTTGCTTCTTTAGATATGAACAAACTGACGGGGGTGGGGGGGATGGGACACTCTGGCTTGCTCCGTCCTCACATGCGGAGTTACCATGCTTAGGGTCACTGGAATGGCGGTGGAGGAAGGCGAGGGGCAGACAGAATGAGAGATCTTTCCCCACTCGGCTGCTGGAGATGCCAGAGAATCCACCGGGGTGTGTGTTGGCTTTGACGACTGTTCACCACCCTGAGTAGTGCATAGCGCTAGGTTGAGCGGTATACAAATGTAATAGTTGGACGGATCGATGGGCGTATGGACAGACAGGCAGAAGACAGGGAAAATAAATTTGGATATTTGGTGAGGAAAGCCTCTGCTCCGTCTCTGACGTATCGTGCCTCTCCCCAAGGTCTCTGGAAAGCTATAAAAGCAGAACACGGGAATTCAAAGGTACACCACACCTGCTCTTCCGCCTTCTGCCTTCTTAAATTGTACAAAGACTGCAGGACAAGCGTCACACCTTCCTCCTCCTCTCCTAAGCCTTAAGATGCTTGGATAAACCACAGCTGAGGGCCTGGATAAATTCCAGCTGACAAGCAGCAGAAGGGAAGATGGTTCTCAAGGACCGGGAAGGGAAGCCGAGTCGGCTGTAGCCAAAGTAGCTTTGAAAAAGATATGCGTGTGCGTGCGTGTCCGTCCGTCTGTCCTTTCTTCTCCTACCTGTCTTGGACTGTCCATCGGGAGCAGTAATCTCAACAATCAGGTTCTCCAGGACCATCCCTCGGTGGTTGATGTCCTCCACCAGAGCGCCCTTCCCTTTCCATTCTTCCAAGAGGACCTAAGCGACAGAGTGAAAGCAGGCATCAGGATGCAGCCCATGACCTGCAGGGGCAAAAACCCACCGAGACGGGACTGCCGGGCCGGCCAGTGTACAGGGGTCCAATTGGCACTCTGTGTTCCTGCACTGACTTGTGTGTAAAATGTCTCTCCCATAAAAAACATTTTTTTTACAATAAACAAAGTAGTATCAATACAGCCAGATGGAAAACAGCCAGAATGCACTTAAAAGCAGCCGTAAAAGTGACTGAAGGGTGAATACATTTAGTCTGAGGAAAAATGATGATAGTAACATCTGTTCTAAGAGTGAGAAAGGTTAAGCTTCGCTCCAGGTGTATCTCCTTTAGAGAGGCCACTCTTTAATCCGAGTGCCAGAAGCACGATGCGCCCTCACTTTCCCTCACGGAACATCCGATGGGCCTTAAAAACACAACAAAATCCTTACGGAAGGAGAGGGCTTTCTATATACACCAGAAATCCCTCAGTGTTAGGGCCCAGCTCCAGATAAAGGGCTGGCGGGCACAGAATCAAACGTCAGGGATGACGTCTTCTTCAGCTTTGAAACCAGAGAGGATGTGGAGACACGGCTGAGTCAACAGCCAGAAGGATGTTTCAGAAAGCAAGGAAGGGGGGGCACAGCCTCGTGCCATGCTTCTTAAACGTGGGTCCCCAGATGTTCTTGAACTACAACTCCCAGAAATCCTGGCCAGCAAAACTGATGGTGAAAGCTTCCGGGAGTTGTAGTCCAAGAACATCTGGGGACCCACGGTTGGGAACCGCTGATCCAGAGGAATCATTGTTGGCAGCAGTAGCGGAAACATTTCTACTGGGAAAGCATGGAATTTCCACACCGTTGAGCACAGATCGGCAAGAGAAAGGGGATTATTTATTTTGCAAAATATGCAAACACCCAGCAGTCTGGGACATAACCTGAGGATACACCGTATGACCATCTGGCTGACACTCGGCCAGCCTGAGTCTGGCCACGGCTTGGAATAAGGACCATCCTCTGTTTTCTTGGTCACGATGGATGAAACTCCTGATTAAATAGATCCCATTTGCATTACGAGGACAGTCTCAGAATCTGCTTTTTCCCTGTTTGGGAATCTGCTCGTCTGTTTCACTGTTGCTGGCTTGCGTGGTAACACCGGGGGAATTGCTAGACCTTACCATAACTGTGCCCGAAAGAGCCTCCTGCATCCTTGGCAGCTTCAGAGGAAGCTCGGCATCTTCTTGTCTGAAGAAGACGCTCCAGACAGGACCATCAAGACAGACGCAAAGAAGCTGCGATCCCCGGCCACATGTTCTCTCTCTCCCCATTCGCTCAGCACGGCCTCTGCTCTATGGCCCCCATTCCTCCCACCCTTCCCTGGCCTAAGCAGTCCCTGGGACGCCTTCTTCTTCCCACCTCAATCTGCTGCTTGCGCTTCTCCAATTCATAGGTGCCCAAAGATGTCTCTGTGGGAGGAACGTTCCCCTCCGTTTCCTTCAGCCACTGCCGGAGGGATCCGACCAGCTTTCGGAATTCGTCCAGCTGCTCCTGGCAAGATGAAGCGCCTTTCTCTCTGAAAGGAAGAGCAGCAGCAAGTAAAGTAGTTGAAAAAGAAGACAAGACACTCAGCCCCTTATTAATGAACATGCAACTATTTTGGTGCTTATCTTAACTTTTGCACCCAGCAAAAACTAGAAGCCGGCAAGTAATTCAATAACATTAAAAATATTGCAGTGGAATACAAGAATAGAGACAGATGAATTTATTATTTATTTATTTATATATTTATTTTAATTATATCCCGCCCATCTGGTATATTTATACCACTCTGAGTGGCTGAAACAGATAAAAACAGAGGTAAGCAATAAAACCATCTCTAACAAAAAAAAAAAAAAGCAAAAGCCTGTCTTGATGGAAAGGTTGATGCTGTGTCATGAAACACCAGGGGGAGGCAAAAGGTCCCACCCTTCTGGTACATCCAAGAGAAGATGCTTTCTCTTCTCCCCATCAACCACACCTCCATCACAGGTGAGACAGAAGGAAAAGCTTCGGTCCTGGACAGGATAGTAAGGGGACGGGATGGTCCTTGTGGTATCCTGGCTCAATTACCAGTGGTTTATTTCTCATAAGAAAAAGGGGCAGCCTTGTGCTGAGAACGGACTGGAGGGACCACGTGGGGAACACAGATGCTTCTACGGTCACATTTCCTGTTTCTGGCTAAAGGGACAGCACTGAGCCAACAGCTGAGTTTCCCAACCCGGCCACACCAAACCATGACAGAAAGGTTAGGGCACTTTGGCCATGTGGTTGCAATTTGTAGCAAGCTCAGCAAAGCAGTCCAAGTGAAATCAGGACGTCAAGCAGGTAAGAGCGATCCCTGACCCGGGACGGAACCTCCGGAGCCTTGCAGGCACATGGCCTGCTGGAAGAGTTCGGTGTTGCTTGAAGACTGACATACAGATCACAGAAAATTACCATTTTAAAATGAAAATAGTCGCCTACAGTGAAATGTGGCTTTCAGACTTTTGGCCAGACCGGAGTCTCCAAAAACTTGTTCAGCGGGTATGAAACTGGGATGAAATGTTGCAGCCCAGGTCCACCTGCACAAGGGGAATGACGTTTCTGGGAACAGCAACCAACCCTGATCAAAGGCTTCCCTTTGTGTTTCCAGGGTGTGCCTGGTTTTGCACACAACACAGTGAAGTCGCACGCCTGCTCAAGGTGCAAAGGGAACCTTTAATCAGCAGCCATCTGGCCCTGCAAACAACGTCATCCCCATTATGCACATAGACCTTATGCAACAGGATTTTGCATTATGAATGTCATTCCCATTACGCAGGCAGACCTTATGCAACAGGATTTTGGGCCATGCAGAACAGTGATTCCTCCCTGAGCTGTTTTGAACAGCGGGGGGGGTGTTTCCCACCCCTCCAGCTCTTTTCAGCAAAAACTGTGGGTTGCACGTGGCAGAGTTTTGCCACTACAAAAATGCATGTGTCTTCCAGGTCTTCTAAGTCCTCCATGACAAGCTTCCTCCACGAGGCACCCACCCCGACCAAAACCTTGAATTCACGCAGCTTCTCACCTCTCCCGTGCTGCCTTCTGGAGCTGCAGGAAGTCTTTCCGTAAACTGCGCAGCTTCTCCTGGTGCAAGGAGGAGTCTGATGCCACAAAGCCACAGGAGCTCAGCTCTGCTGCCAGATGTTCTACTGTCTCCAGATCCTCCTGGCGTTGCTTCATCTCAGAATTCAGTTCCTGGAATCCCAAGAGGACGAAAAACAAGGGTGAACTACAGCCTCCAAACAACAAGGAGCAGAAAAAGCCAATGGAAGTTGGCTCCCTCGGCCTTCTCCCAAACTGACAAAGAACCAAAAAAAATGACAGTTTTTAGGAAGGGGCGGTTGTGACGGAAGATGGCTCTGTGTGTCAGAAGATGCTCTTCTCACTCCAGTCCAGAATTGTCTGTTTTTATCTTTCAAACAAGGAAAATAAATGTTTCCAGACCAAGCTAAATATTCTCAGCCATATGCCTCTCTCAGCTCTGGCACAGAAGAAGAGGGGTCAAATCTGCAGCCTCACACTCTCAACGGACCGCCCGTCAGCAAGGGCCCTTCTCCAAGAGCCTCTGTCCCCCAAGGCCGCTTCTCACCTGGATCTGCTGAGAGAAGTGGGCAATATCGCGATCAGGCTGGTTTCCCGAGGCCAGGAGGCGCGCCTGGCTCTCTGTGAACTGCTGCAGCTTCTCCGACAGTTGCTCGTACTGCTCCATCTTGGGGAGCAGGCCCTTCAGGGCGTCCTCCTTCTCCTGCTGCTGCTGCTGCAAGCGGGCAAAGCACGCCGTCACCTCGGCGAGTTTGCTCTGCAGGGCCGTGGCGGTGGCGCAGTCGGCTGTCTCCATGAACCCCGTCACCATCTCCCGAGTGGCTTCCAGGCTGCTCTTCTGCCTGGCGAGGTCCTGCTTCACTTTCTGTGGAAGGGGACAGAAGTCACCATCAACACCCAAAGGAGAGCCTGCTGGCAGGAAGAGAGCCCACCCTACGGACCGGCCGGAATGCCTCCAAAGGGAGGGAACCAAGCAAGGGTCTAGAAACCAAGCTCTGCAGGGAAGGGTGGAGGGAACGGGCCATGCATCCCTGGGAGAAGATGGAGACAGCCTTCTCCAAAAGGTCAAGGGCCGTCACACAGAAAGTGGAGCCAGCGACAGAAGCTGGGGCACTGCCAGAAAGATGATCTTAGTTGGACGTCGGGAAGGCCTCCCTGAGAGTAAGATGTGTGTGACAGCTTCTCCCTTGAGAACATGTGTTCCTGAGATGACAACATCCAAGAGAGTCCTTAAGAAAAGCCACTGTTCCCTCTTTTGAGAGCGGAAAATGGACTGCCAAGTTAATTAAGGAACACCTGCTTGTCTGCCAGCAGGGGAAGTGAAACGCCAAACACCCTCTTAGAATAACATGGGCAATGGAATATTGGTGTGTAGCCATCTGCGGTAATTTAATGGCTCTTTGCACTTGGAGCCCCTTGCACACGCTGAGTAGTGGGATTAACCTTTTTTTCTACCTCACCTGTGCTGTTCTTGGTTTCTGTGAGGGGCTCCTGGCCCCCCCGACAGCTGAACGGGCAGAAACAGGCAACGGGCAGCCTATAACTATTTCAGTGGTTATGGCTTCAAAGGAATATCTCCCTCTGAAGTTCCAACCAGATCTAGCCACTCTAGTTTTATCCATAACTCCTTTCTGAGCCCCTTGCATTTATCTGACATTTAATCAAGGCAAGGCTGTGCCATGTTCCAGAATAACGTCCAAACCCAACGTAATGCAGTGAGAAGTCCCGTACTCCGTGCACGGAAGCCACAGAGTCGTTACAAACATGTTTTTGGCCTTGAAGCCTTGGGCTTTGGATCTCCGAGGCCCAAAGCGCCGCTTGTAATTCCTCCTTGTGAGCAACCGAAAGAACATCCTCTCCATGTGGAGGAATATTCTGTTCGCATGGAGAACAGGCCTGCCAAAGGGGAACCAAACTGAACTGAAGGCAACTTTCAGGGTTCCGTTGCTTTGAATTGTGATCACAATAAAATTAAGATGGCAAAAGAGACCTCCTGAGTGGTTCCCGCCCATCTGGACAGTATTCAGAAATGGTATTCAGAAATGGGGGAAACACCTTGCTCTCCCATTAATGCACAGACTTCAAAGCGGAGCATGTCTACAGAAGGCTGGGAGAAGCCGCTTACCATGTTGGCGGCGAGGGCCTCCTGGACGGAGGTGGAGGAGAACGCGGCCGCCTTCTCCCTCTGGAGGCTTTTCTCGATGTCCCCCATGGACTGCAGGAGGCTCTCCAGGCCCTCCTGGACGCTCTGCGAGTGGGCAATGGACTTCTGCAGAAGATCTGACCGCTCTGCCATTCGAGAGGAAAGGCTCTGGAAACGGCTCACGATGGAATCTGAGAGAGGAGCACGTGAATGACAGACGGCTCAGGAAAGGCGGTCAGTGCCCCAGGCCACGCCTGAGGGGCAGAGTCTGGCCCCTAAGAGCGCAATGGATGCTGCTCCCAGCCCCCTGCCCCCTCAGGGCATCCCAAGGCAATAAGGACGAGAGCAAAGGTCTTGTGGCATCTTAAGATCATCCTGGATAACCCGAGGGACAATTTTGTGAAGCCAGGTCTGCACAGGCTCAGAAAACAAATTGGGCGGGGGGGGGAATCAGCACTTAATATTGTTGGACGTCTGCATCTGCCTTCTTTTTTCTTGGATGGGGAGGGCATGTCCCCTGTTTCACAGCCATTCCTGGAAGTTGTCAGGAGCAGAAAACATCATGATTTTATTTTTTTATTCCAACAGAGGGCACCCGGAAATCATACATGGCAGACGCTTCCTGCCCTGGAGATGAACACCTTTTTTAAGATGGCACAAGACCCTTGGGTTGGTTTTGACACAACCCACGGCTTGGCCTCTGGAGAAGGACGGTAGCTGGTCCTGGCCAGCATCCTCTGCCATTACCTGTGGTTTGCTGGATCCCTCTGTGGTCTGGCACAGGGGAGTCGTGGATCTCCCAGAGGGACCGAGCTGCCTTCTCCAGCTTCTCGACGGGCACCTGATGCTCTGCCAGGTCCTCCTGCAGGTGCTGCGGGCACCATGATCAGACAATGAGCACAGAAGAGAAATCGGGGAAGGGGCGCCGTGTCAAGGGGTCAATTTCCAAACAAACAAGGTTCCCCGAGCCTCCCTTCATGGCTGCAAACAAACCCCCACCGTCTGTGCCTTTGCAGCCACCCTGCAAAGGTAGACGTATGTGCCCTAGTTATGGTTACTGACATGGGGCCAACCTATCTCAAAGATGGCCGCTCCCTTCCTGAGCCTTTTGAGACCATCAGGGGAGGCCTTTCTCTCAATCCCACCTCTCTCACAGGGGCACCTGGTGGGGACACCTCCTCGGTCGCTGCTCCCAAGCTGTGGAACTCCCTCCCACAAGAGGCCAGCCTGTCCCTCCTTTTGTAGGGTCCTCCAGCAAACAGGCAAAGACCTTAGGAGCCGGCCAAATCTCTGAGGCCATGCATACTTACTTTGGTGCTGGCTAGCTGCTTCTGCAAAACGGCCGGGTCCGAGGAAATGGCCTCCGAAAGGAGAGTCGCCACGGCCTCTTCGCTCTTTTGCAGCCACGTCCTGAGGGATTCTGAGACATCCTGGAACTGCTGAGAGCGATCCAGAAGCAGGTTCAGATGGGAACCAAGAGCGCCGCACTGCGAGAGACGAGATGAGAAAAGGACAAAGAGGCTATGAGGGTGCTTGAGGTTGATCCCGGTCTGCAGGGCACCAGCAAACCTCATCTGTTTGCACGTAGGATCCCCCACCCCACCAAGATCCCGGCGTCTCTTGCCCAAGATCCTTAGGGAACTGCAGGATGCAGACAACATGGGTGGATGCCCTGGATAAGCAGAGCCAGCGAGAGTGGGCACAGCACCCTAAGGGAGAACAGAGAGCAGGCCGTGGTGCGCCAGCCAGAAGCTCCTGCCCAAAGGAGGACCGCCTAGGGCGATTGTTTCTCCTTCACTGGTGATTTTTGGGCAGAGGTTAGGTGGCCGTCGGGGAGGGTTTCTGGCTGAGGCTTTCCCTGGCAGACCCCTTGATTCGACACTATCGGGAGTCCCCGTCCATTCTACAGTTCTGTGGTTTTTAAGAACCGTTGGAGAAAACTCAGGTACAGGTAGCAACACCAAGTTTGTGGATGATGGTGAAACTCAAGTTTTAAAAATCAGGAGAAATGACACAGGAAGGACCTTGTGAGAGAGGAAGAGGTCTCAGTGGATGTTAAGGAGAGAGTCCTAAAGGAGTAACAAGCCTGTTTTCTCATAGGCAGCAAAACCACCCAAACTACATACGGGTCAAGGACACACAAAAGCCTTGGGCATGAAGGTACACCCCTCTTGGGCCTGCAAAGCAGAAGTTGTGATCACCTTTATCCTCAGCAACTAGTCTTGTACCTTGGAGTGGAGGGCGCCGTATCTCCGGGTGGCATCGTCCAGCTTGCTCTTCACTAGTGCCCCAGCGTCTACCACTTCGTGCCCTGGAGGCCCTCCGGCCGCGTGAGTTGCCACCTTCTCGGCATCCAGCACCTTCTGCCCCGACATTGTGACGAACCGCAGGTCCCCCTTGTGGGAGATGACGTCCTCGGAGAAGCTGCTCTGCCGGAGAAGCATCGGCTGCAGGGAGGCCAGGCTGGCGTCTCCCGCGTGCATCTTCTCCAGCTCCTGCTCAGCCTGTCCCAGCCAGGCTTCGAACTCCAGGTGGTCCCTCAGGAATTTCTGCAGCTCATCGCGGAGGGCTTGCACGTGCTTGAGCCGCACCTCCGACCGAGACAAGGTGTCCGCGTACTGGCTCTTCAGCCTCTCCCCTTTGCTCTGGAGCCTCTGCTTCTCCTCCGCGGTGAGATTGTGGCCCTGCTTGTCCAGGAAGGCTTGGGCGGATTGCGTGGCCAGAATGACGTCTTGCTGCTGAGAAAGGAGCTCTTGATGATGGGCCTGAAAAGACAACAACAACAACAACAGCAGCCCTGGGTTAATTCCGGCACCAGCAAAATCGCCACCTGAGACGTCCCAAGGTGAAGGAAGGAAAGGCTTGCTAATTTCAGGAGAAAGGATAGCTTCATTCCGTTCTGTGGCTCTCTCAACTCTGGGTCCTTTCCTTTTAATTGGGCTCAAACACTCCCTGTTGGAACTGGAAGCTTGCTGGGATTCTGGTTGGTTCCCCACTGCTCACAGCCCAGTGCTCATACTAAGGAGAGAAGTTGGCAAAGGAGGTGATCACGAGACAGGATACCCCAGACAGGATACCATGGAAAACCTCTTGGCCTTCTTCAGAGTCTAACCTGCGACCCAATGCTCAACACTGGGGCGGGGGGTGGGGGGTTTGACCACCAGCAAGCGATCTATTTGTGGTCACCAGAAGAGCAGGAACCACAGACAGGAAAGCAGATTATCAGGCTTCAGTCCGGGAACCTGACAGACCGTATCCCCACCTCCACGAACCTTCAAGCTCTGGTAGTGCGAATCCAGATCCTCCTCCGCTCTGTCCCCTTCCTCCAGTCGACCGTCGGGAGAGTCTTGGCCCCTCGCGCCTCCCTGCCCCAAGGGCCGGAGGGTGGCTGCTGTGGGCTCTCTGGGCTGCTCCAAGGAAGCCACCCGCTGCAGAAGGGACTCGATCCTGTTCTGATTCTCTTCAAAGTCTTTAACTGCTCTGACCTGGAAGCAGAAACATACAGACCAACATGAGGGGAGCACGTCAGGGCATAGGCAGCCAGAGGGGCTCGAAAGCATCACGGGTCAACTTTATTGCCCAGCTTCCAGGGGAGTTCTTGGCTCCTGCCCCTGAATCAGGCATCCACCAAGGACGAGGGGGGGCAGGATTTCATGTGTGGGGGGGTGTCCTTACCTTTTCTGTCTGCTGCTGCACCACCGTGCTGACAGCAGCCTCGAGCTCCTTCCGCGCCGCCTCCGCCCTCTCCTGCAAGGACTGGTACCGCTCCTTAGCCTGGCGCAGGCTTGCCTGCATGGACGCCAGCGCCGCGGGGTCGAGCTTCGCCTGGTTCTCCTCCAAGAACTCCTCCGTCGCTTTTAGGACACTGGCGAAGGAAGCCGCCCGGCTGTGCATGTTGCGCTGGAGTTCCTTAACACAACAACAAAGGAGGAAAAAATTGCAACAGGCCTCTTCTGGAAACGTCTCTGGCTCTTAATGCGCCCCGTCGAGCTTTCTGTGCCTATTAAGAAAAGGGCCCCTTGAACTCCCCCATTAAAGCCGTGAAACCCATATTAAAACAAATGTACAATTTTAAAAGGTCATTAGCTCCTTAACACAGTCATTGCCCAGTTATGTACAGATACACTTAGACAGTGAGCATTAGTGTCTCTCTGATGTAGAGAAAGATGTTTGAGAACTTCCCATTTAATTTCTTATTTATTTTACCTATACCGCTTCTTTCTCCCAGGATCAGGGCCCACTTTAACAACGAAACACAACGGGATCTTAAAACTTAACAAAGATGAACGAGTCCCATCAGGAAAGGCCACAAACTTGAAAAGCGAGACCAGTGGTTCCCGAACAGGTGAGGTGCGGTGCCCAAACAGGTGAGGACATCACGGCCTCACAGCTTTGAGGGCAAAGGACTGGGTGCTTCTTGTGACTCCAGAAGGACCTTCTGAGAGAGACCATCCAGGGGAGATCAACTCCCCGACCCGGCGCCTACCTTGACATCCCTCTGCCTCTGCTCTAGGGTGGGAAGGTCCCCTCCTGCCTCTCTCGCGCTCCCCTGCGGAGCCGGCAACCTGGCCTCGGCCTGATTCAGCCAGCTGCACAACTCCTCCAACTTCTGGCCGCGGATGGCTTGCTGTTCCTGCAGCGTCTGTTCGGTACGCAGGAGTTTTCAAGAAAAGACAAGACATGAGCCTCTTAACACCCCTTCGTGAAACCGTTAAGAACAGCCACAAATGCAGTCAAACAAGTTACAAAAAACATTTCGGCAGAAGAATTCAGAGGCTGTCAGGATGCACGATCTCACTCTCTCCTCCCCACAGTCACCCAATGCCCTCCATGTTGTCTCTAGAGCAAAATTTGGTTCCACTTTCTGGAACCCAAGGCGGCCAATGGCTTTCCAACTGGGCCTTTTGCCGTTCAAATGTTTTCTTCTGCTTTAAATTTCATTTCTATTATGTTCAAACCCTGGTGTTGACCCAGAGAACGTGAGTTACCAGTAAAGAAAGAGTGAGCCAAATGTGGGGAAAATACTGAAGGGGGCAAAGGAAAAAGTAGAAGAAATTCTGTTTTTCCTCGTGGACGCTTCTTTTACAAACTCCGAACCCATTCTGTATTTGGAGGTCAACACCGTCCATGTCTTTTCCTTCCCCACTTAAGAGGGGAAAGGAACTTTTAGCCCCCATGCCCCTGGATCAAGATGTTTCAACGTTAGGCTACCAGGCCTGGAAAGCTATGAGCTCTCAGGAAAAGCCATTTCCCCGGACCCGGAGAGCAGGAGGGAGAGAGTGAGAGGATGCTCGGGGAAGGTGCACCCAGCCAAGTCCTAAACGGTCTCTTTCACAGCAAACAGAGCCTCAGAGGAGCAACTGAGCATGATGTGTGAATCCTGGACCCATCTGCTTTCCACCAGCGCGCCACGTCTCTTTTTCCCCATCAACACACACAAACATGGGCTAATTGAGAAGCCAAGCTTTCTGTGCCCCCCACCCCTCCCCGAAAGGCTTTAAGCCAAACGACAGAAGCAGTTTGAGTTTGGGGGAGGTGGGTGGGGTGGGGATTGGGGGAGAGAGAGAGAGAGAGCACTCCTAGGAAGCGCTCTTCAGCAGCGCAAGGAGATCTTCTCACATTAAGGATGGGAGGAGATTGCATCTGAAACGGCAAAGCAAACTGGTTAATACACACGCAATCAAGAGGCAGAACAAGGACAACATCACAGCCGGGTCACGGTTTAAACAAAACTTGCCCTATTCATCGTGTCAAGGGGTTGAAGGGTGGAGAGGGAAAGAGGGAAGAGGCATGCAGTTAGGGAAGACGCAAGAAGAGAGACCTTTCTGAGCACGCCTGGAGGGCGGACGACCACACACACCCCCCAGTTCCCGAAGGCTGCCCTCCAGATATGGTTAGGTTTCGTCGATGGGGAGGGATGAACACAGCTGCTGCCGGTGGGGCTTCCTCAAGGCCGTGGCCCGTGGAAGGGGCCAAGAACATGTCTCACGTCTCCATTTCCCACCTCTTGCCTATGGAGTGTTATGCAATGCAAGGGCAAAAGGAAACCCCGGGGGCAGGCAGGCGCGGGGGGGGCAAAGCTCAAAATGGGCTCTGCAGAGAGGCAGGGCTTGGGGCAGGTTGGGGATTTAAGCAGCAGGATCATAGAATCACAGACTCATGGAGTGGGAAGGGGGCCTCGAAGGCCATCCAGTCCATCCCCCCCCTGCTCAAGGCAGGAATCCAAATCAAAGCAGACGGTGGTCCAATTTTCTCTTGATGGCCTCCCGCATGGGGAGCACTGCTCACTACCTCTGGAGGCAACTGGTTTCCTTCGCTGTACTGCTCTAACAGTTAGGAAGTGTCTTCCTGAGATTCAGCCAAAATCTGGCCTCCTGTCGCTTGAGCCCATGGTTACCTGTCCTCCACACTGGGATGATAGAGAACTGATTCTGCTCTGTCGCTTGAGCCCATGGTTACCTGTCCTGGGATGATAGAGAACTGAATCTGTCCCTCCTTTGTAGGATGACCTTTCGAGGATTTCAGACTGCAGCCTATGTCACTGTTAAGCCAGGCACGCATGACAGCCCTGGGCAAAGGATACAGACATCTTTGCCCATAGCTGGCTTGCACCTCTGTTTTGTATCTGTAAATGTACACTTCCGACCACCTCTGGCCGACAGCTAAAAGCCAGGGGGGTGGGGTAGCTTTATCTGTAGACTTCCGTGGCAAATGGGGCATGTTTTTAATGTCACCCTCATGCTTCTCTTCTCCCTCTCCATCCAGCCCATGTTCCCCTTCTTTACAGTGGCAGGAGATGAAACCCAACGACAACGGCCACCAGGATCCTCTCCTTTGGCCCTTACAGTGGCCGTTTATCTGTGCGGTCGGAGAGGGCTGGGAGAAGAGACTGAGAAATGAAGTGTCCACTAGGTTTAGAGAAGCAGCTAAAGGAAGGACGATGTCACGGCTTCACTACAAAGGGGTAGATGTTAAAAACTGTGCCAAGAGGGGCAGGCAAGCCGTCAGCCTCGTCAACGAAGGAAATGACACACACAGAGAGACACACAGGGGTTGCTCCTGGTTCAAGGCGGTGCGGCAGAGAGGCGGCCGCGCCACCACCGTCACCTGATCCGTCTGCTCCGCTTGCTGGAGGCAGACCCGGAGGACCTCCGCCCGGGTGGCCCGTCTTTCCGAAAGCTCCTGGAAAGATCTCTGCAGCTCGTTCAGGAGCCTCAAGAGCTGCCGGCTTTGCTCGGGGCTGAGGTCTTGAGCGTGCTCGGAAATGAAGAACTGGATGTCAAAGGCGGTTGCGTCCAGCTGGGCTTTCACGTCCGCGAGAGGCTGGCTCAGCTCCTGGCCACGTCGAGAGAGGAGAAGGAAAAAGAGGATGGTTAGCACCAATGGCTTTGAAGCTGCCATGACCACCACACACCGGGTATCCCAAAAAAGTCACCGCCGATGGCCGCCAGATGCCAGGGTGTCTACAAACTGCTGGAGAGCTGAGTGGTTTGGGCATCTGGTAGCAGAGCCCGAGGTTGGGAGTTCGAATTTCCCCACCACACACAGTGCCTCCTTGACAGGGGGTGGACTTGATGACCCTTAGGGTTCCCTTCCAGCTCTTGCCGTTCTAAGAGGATGATGACAGTGATTCTGTTTGGAGCCTTGTGGCACAGAGGTTAAACTGCAATCAAGACTCTGCTTACAACCTGAATTCAATCCTGTCGGGCTCAGCGAGCCAGCTCAAGGTTGACTCAGCCTTCTGTCCTTCCAAGGTTGGTAAAATGAGAATCCAGCTTGCTGGGATAGGAGCCGGGATGGGCAATGTGTGGCCTGCATAATTAAATGAGGGAGCAATGTGTGGCCTGCATAATTAAATGGCATAATTGCCCAGAGAGTGCTTTAAGCACTATGGGGCAGTATAGAAGCAGCACACTTTGCTTTTTTCCCCACTTTATTTTCTGGAATCATCTCCCCATGCCACAAAGAAATGTTAAGCCAATCCTGCAACGATCCACCGGCAGTAGCTGAGTCTGATCTTTGCCCAATTGCTAGCACGCGGGCGAGGAGCCCAATGTGCGCTCACGGCCACAACAGCATCTCCACTCAGTACAGCCGGGAACTTGCCCTTCCTCTCACGCAGCGCTTCCCCCCCGCAAGAGAAGGAACAAGAAGAGGATTCTGCCCCTTAAGAGTCCACTGAGGTCTCTTCCCCAAACTCAGTTTTGTCTTTTCATATTCCCCCCAAGAACCTTCCAATACTCAGGGGGAAAAAAAAACCTGCTGGCCCTTAACAGGAGTGTTTCATTTCCAGCAGAAAGGAATCGGCTCTCAAAGCTTCCACTCCCGTCAAACCCTGAGCGGTATTATTTTCACTCCAGCTTCCCAGCCAAGTGCCTTGGGAGGAACCTGTAGTGACCCTGGCCTCAGCCCAACTTCTCCGAAGTCCTCCACAACACGAGACAAACAAGGGGAAACATTTTTTTCCCCAAGCTACACATCACCCATCAACAGCCTTCATGGCCATAGATGGCTATAACGGGCGACTCTCCCGGCCTGCCAGAGCCTTGTTATGTCTGCTGGCATGAAACCATCTTTCAAAGTTTAAAATACACAGACGGCGCCTCTGATGGTGGCTACCAGCCACCCTACAAGTATCTTCAGGGCTGGACGCACCATCTCAGAGATGGTTCTGGCCACCCGTCCAGAAGGGAGCCGTTCATCAGGGCAAATCACACACTACTACTCAAGAGTGAAAAGCACACCGCCCTGCTAAAGAGTTTAAGGAGCAGGAAAAAGATGAATTTGGCCCAAGGGAGCAGCGCGCGCGGGGGTGGTGGTGGTGGTTCAGCGAAGTGGAGAAACAAAAAAATTGGGGAGATTAAGTAGAGAAGCCACACTCCCTTTGTCCCTCTGCCCTGCTTTCCTATCCACCCTCCTTTCCAGAAAGGATGATTAGAGGTCAGTGACTCACAGGGTATGGGTACCACCATCCTGGCCCAAAACTTACGCATCTCCCTCAGACACCCAGTGTCGGAAGACACCAGCATCCTCAACCAGGCCAACCAGGAGCCTGTCCTATCAAGGTCGTTCTTGCATTAATAAACTGTTATTTATTACCCAGGGCATCGGAAAGACAAGGACATTAGACAAGGTCCCCAAGAGTGCTGGGAATCATTGAAGAATCTGCCTTCAGTTTAATCATCCTCTTAGAACAGCAGAGCTGGAAGGGACCCTCAAGGGATCATCCGGTCCAACCTCTGTCAAGGAGGCCCGGGAAGGGGGTGGGGGAATCGAACTCCCACCTCTGGCTCTGTAGCCAAACCACCGAACTGACCAGTAGTTCATTAAGAACATTACGAACCTTGTGCAAATGTTGAACAGCTGAGGGGATGTTGCCGTTAGTGGCTGAAGTAAACCAGGCATGAGGCACACGGTTTGAGCGTCCCAGCACCTTAGAGCAGTCCTTGGCAACCTGGGGTCCCCAAAGGTTCTTGGACTAAAACTCCCAGAAGTCTTTGCCACCAGCTGTGCTGGCCTGGATTTTTAGGAGTTGCAGTCCAGGAACATCTGGGGACCCAAGGTTGTTGGGGGACCCAAGCACGGCCTTAGGGGCACCCACAAAACAAGGTGAAATGGGTCTACCTAGCGAACGTCCACAGG